AAAAAAAAAAAAGAAAAATAAAAGTAATAAATGTACGATATTTAAAATTTTTCGAATATTATTATTCGTTATATTATTCATTTTCTATAGCGAATCAGATTTGCATCTTTTCATTTTTGGATATAATTAGAAATAAAAAAAAAAAGAAAAAAAAATTTAATAAATATACGATATTTAAAATTTTTCGAATATTATTATTCGTTATCATATTATTCATTCTGTAACGTAGAAAAATTATGGTTTAATTTACAAATGTATTGCTATTAAATATTTAATTAACAAGAAATTAAACTTTCATTCTAAATTAAATGGTAATTTAATAATTACAACGTCTACGAGTTTGAAACGATTACAAGAACGTGCAAAGAAAGAGATAGTAGGATCCAGCCAACAAAATTCGAGTTCGTTCATTCTCGCGGAATTATAAGATACACTCGCCATTATCGTTTACCAGCTCCCTTTCGCGCGTTTTTGCGATCTTTAATCGTGCAGTTAAGTCGAGAGGGCGGAAATTAAACGTGTACTATGTCTAGCTTACACAAAAGGTGGAAAGGGAAAGACTGAAAGTGAAACGAATTGTAGAGAAGGAGAAAGAATTGGAAAGAAAAAGATAGATAAGGAAAATAGAAAAAAAAGAGAAAAGAAGCGAGAAATGCCAATGAAAAAAAAAAAGAACCTAACAAAATCAAAACCAATTTTCACATCTTGCAGAATCTTTATTAAAAATAATAATTGCATGGAATAACATGCATTAAATATTCAAAATTAAAAATATTTATCAATAAACGATTGATTAATCACCTTATTTTGTGTTATTAATTTATCTGCACGTTTAATTATTAATCATCGAACGTTATTAAATCTGATTTACACGAATCGGACGAATATAAATCAACGAATTGATATCGTCCCTGGAATACGATGATTTTAAATCGTGACAATTATACGGAATACAGAAAATTGAGTTAATAGCCACCAAACGTATTCACAATACTTTGAAACAACAACAACAATCATTTCAAATAATTCTCTTATTTAAAAAAAATAAATATTTCTCCTCCAAACGTCTCCATATTTATTATTTAAATCCAAAAAAAGAAAGAAAATTAAATTATATCAAATTCTACAATTTTATCCTTAAAAAATTACATTATAGAAATATCAATCTAGAAGAACCTTCTCCCCAATCGTCCAAACGAAAATCTCAAAATCAAAACCCAAACCAAACTCCTTCCTCAACTCGCTCCCCCATTCCATCGCAAACGGTTAAACAAACAAACGAGAAGAGACACCTGAAACAAAGCGTAGGATCCTCTCTCCCTCTCTCTTTCTCTCTCTCTCCCTCTCCTCGAATCTCGGCACGGATCGATGAACGCGAAGATGTCAAGGCATTATCGCGGAGCCGATTAAAAATGTATGCACGGTGGCTGTGTTAAGTAGGCAGATACTCTCGGCC